TTTGTTTTCAAATATTATTTTTCTTTCTCTAGTTCGTCTAGTCAAATATATTCTACGTGCTTCATTTCGTTCTTCAATTGCCGCCTTACACTAGTCATCAAACTATTGGTTTCTTTTCTTTTTTTTGTTCTTAGCATAAATTTTGCTGCAGTTAATATGGTTCTACTTATTAGATTCCACTGGTCTTCTAATGATCTCTCTTCACCTCTTTATATTCAGTAAGCTTTGTGTTTATTTCTATTTCAAATTTCTTTTAAATTTTAGGTCTTTTCAGTTTTCCTAGATCTATAATTTCCTTTCTTTGTTGATTCTCTTTTGTCTGTCGACTGATCCAACATCTAAAGTGTACCTGAACTAGTAGGTGGTCTGAGCCACAACATGCACCTCGTTTACTTTTAATGTCCAGAAAGCTTGTTGCCAATCGCTTTTCTACCAAAACGTGGTCTGTTTGGTTCACAACATCCCCTCCAGGCGATATCCAGGTGCATGTGTATATGTTTTTGCGAGGAAAGATGGTAGAACTTATGATCATGTTTTTACTAGCTAAAAAGTCAATAAGATATTGGCCGTTTTAGTCGTATCCCTATGTAGGCTACGCCTCCCAATTATTCCGATGTATTCTTTTTTAGTTCTTAACTTTATGTTTGTGGATTTCTAATTATATCTTTCTTATCTTTCTGAAATCTCTGGTGCTTTAAATAAGTTCCCTATCATCCTTAGGACAAATATTGATTTACCATTTTTTCTATTCTTAGCGATCTCTTTCGATTTTCTTATAGCTACATGTTAAAGGAGAGCCCAAAACCGAGAGAAAAAGGGCCCTTCATTCTGTTGTGAAATAAATCGTTCTCTACGCTGTACCTATCTAGAGTACTGCAGTAGAATAGATAGGAAGAGTCTATTGAGTCTATTGACAGTGACATGAGTCGCTGGGTGTTATCACCGGGTATATTCCAATGCACGTGCTAGTGAAGAAAAGAGGAAGAATATATAGGAGATGAAATGAAGACATAACAACAGAACTTTAAAAAAGAAGAATTGAAGAGGTCCATAATGGCGTGGCAAGAGGAATGGGACGAGATGAAAAGGATGGCACATTGGACGAAGTCGCTGATTTCTAATCTGAGAACATGGATGCACTGCAGGTACCGGCGTTTAGATTAGTTCCTGACGCAGATACTTATAGGACATGGTTGCTTCAGGATATACCTTTACAGATGTGGAAAGGCAAAAAATAGTAAATACATGTACTGTAAAATATCGGATACTGTCTCATACTCTATTTGTGTGCGATAGATACATAGATGAGAGGAGCGTGCTTGAGGAAGAGCTAGGAATTAGGGTGCAATTAGTCATGGAACTGGTGGTGCTTAGGTCATCAGGTCGGTGAAAAGCAGTTCAGAAATATGTGAGGAGAACGTTGGAGAGAATGGAACAAGAAGAAAGCGACCCAAAGGAAGGCAGAGTGCCCAGGAGCAAGCAAGAAGATAAGGAAGAATTAGAAGGGGCGAGATTCAACATGAACAGGGAGAAACATATGGAGAGACAAAAATTCAGTCGTAGTGAAAAAGTGCTAGAATTGTCGAGGATTGTGCTTGAATAAGAGATTGGTGAATGCCGTGCCGATGTTGCGTCTAAATCAGGGCGATCTGGCTGGTAATTCACCGCTGAGGAGGGTGTTTTTTAGAAGGTAGGCCTCTGGGTGCCCATGTTCTAGTGATGTTGGCGACCATATTAACCCAACTTATTCTATTCACAGTAGCCTATAATAGATCAGTTGTTTTTGGACCAGTCCATTTATTAAGATTGATCAAATCCTAATGTGGCCAAGGTTAGCCAATTTTCTGTTCTTCACGGTGTCAATAATTTCTTTACATTTTCTTAGTCTCTGAAGAATAGTTATCTTAGTTGTGTGGTCTATATATGAGACCCTTAACATACGTCGATAGTACCGCATTTCAATGTTCTACGTCCTCTGTTGTAAGACTCCAGCTTTCTGCTTCATAGAGAAGTACACTAAAGACGTAATATAGATAAGTTGTAAAGAATCTTCCTAACAGCGTTAAAAGAGCTTCTGTATCTTTCAATATGAGCTTTTATTTCGTAGCTATGACCCCAGGTATCCTTAATATTGCAGCCTGTATAGTATATTTTTTCTAGTCTCTCTAACAGTGTATCGTTTATTGTAATTTGACCGTTAATGTTGATGTTTTTACTAATGAATATTATTTTTGTCTTCTTACAATTTAGACCGTTTGTGGAATATGTTTCTACAACATTATAATCTTTTGCGCCACTGCGCATTTTCTGTCAACAATACGCTATCGTTTTCATATCTAGTACTATTGTTTATAAAGTTTGCCATTTAATGCAATACCATCTTCTGATTCGTCCAAGGCTTGTCTAAAGGTGTTAACTTTACATTGCATTCAAGAATATTTTGTTTCCTATAAGTTTGAACTTTTCTTTCTCTTTGATGATTTCTTTAATTGTTTCTGTAATGTACCCATCTACATTATACATATTTTCCTTTTTTCTACAAATTATAATGGAATTAAGCCATTTGATAATTTAAATAATTAAGTATTGCAGTGATTGGTGTTATAGAATTGTTGGAATATAGACATATCGATTGGAATAAGTGAACGTGTGATTAATCAATATAAATTATGTAGAAAAATCTATTACTATGTAGTTTATGGTTTACTACTATTTTTAGCTATTATTTTTCTTATCATATCTTAACTTAGTTACTTACTTATCTATTAACTTATTCACGACTAAAGGTCGTGAGTTCGAATCTCAACTGGGTGGAGAAATTTTCGTTTATTAAAAATTAATGAATGAAAATAATTTCTATCCTTGTGCGATCGGTACTCACCGGAGGGACCGCAGACGTTCGGATATAATTAGCGTCTCTTAGCAAAGACAATGACGTCGACTTTGCTAAGTATCACAGCCACACACACACACACACACACACACACACACACACACACACACACACTACACTAGGTACCTGACTGTACCATGCCAATGATCATTAGTTGTCGAGGCATTAATTCAATAAAAATAAATAAATAAAAATTAAAAGCACAGATATATAAAAATAATAGTATCTAAAATTGATACAAAGATTACGAGAAAGACGAAGAAGGAATTTTTTGCTATATTTACTAAAAGAAAAGAGAACGAAAAACTTAAAACGAAGTATAAAAATAATTTAAAAAAAATACCTTCTTTATAGAAGTCAAAAGAGGCTAAGGAAAAGTGGATGATGGAAACATGCATCGAAGTGGAAGAACTGCATAAAAAACATGATCATTATAATTTAAATAAAAAAGTGAAAAAATTATCTGGAAAATCACGAACAAATACACCTAACCGATTAATTGACAAAAACAATAAACCTATTAATAACTTATAAAAACAGATATGGACTAAATATATTGAAGATCTTTTCATGGTCACAAGAAAGGAACCAATAGAAATTGATAGCGAGGAAGCTCCAATAATATTAAAATCTGAAGTCCAACATGCTATAAACAACTCAAAATCTAGCAGAGCCTCTGGGCCAGATGAAGTTGATATTGAGCTGATTAAACTTATAGACGAAAACAATTTAAGTGCAATAACTATACTCTTTAACAATATATACAAATCTGGTGAGATACCTACAGAATGGCTGCTATCGACCTTTGTTCAGCTACCAAAAACCAAGAACCCCAAACACTGTAATGACTATAGATTTATCAGCTTAATGTCACACTAATTAAAAACATTTTTAAAATATTATACATGCAAGAATATTAAGAAAGTAAGAAGAGGATATGAGTAATGGACAGTTTGGCTTTCGTAACGGCTTCGGAACAGTGTAAGCTCGTACAGTTTCACAACTCTTGCCCAAAAATGTCGAAACCAACAAAAAATCTTTGCATTGCGTTTCTAGACTACGAGAAAGCTTTCGACAAAGTTAAACATAACATTCTCATGGAATATCTAAAGAGAAAAGGACTCGATAAAAATGACAATAACGTAATGGGAAACCTCTACTGAGATAAGTAGAGGAGTGAGATAAGGCTGTGTACTTTCACTATTACTGTTATAATAGTAATATAAATAATATATATATATATATAATATATATATATATATATATATATATATATATATATATATATATATATATATATAATAATAATAATAATAATAAATGAATATAAATAACATCCGTTATGCTATCGCTGAAAGTGAGACAGACCTGCTGACTTTACTAAACACAATGTGTGATACTGGGGAACAGTTTATTTTAACAATAAACATAAAGAAAATATAAACCATGGTTATCAGAAAGAGGGGCCAAGGCAATTTCAAGGATCCAGACAAAAAATGAAGATATTAAGCAAGTGAATAAAATGAAATACTTAGAAGTCTGGATTACGAAAGATCTGAATCCGAAATCAGAAATTCGCTTAAGAATAGAGCAATCACGAGCAGCCTTTTTGAAGTTGAGGAAATTTCTGAGTAATCAAAGACTCAATCTGCAAATACGATATCGGATGGTAAAATGTTATATCCACTTTATTCTTCTTTATGGTGTCGAAGCCTGGACTGTTAATGTTGACTAATTGCGAAAACTGAAAGCTTTTGAGATGTGGCTTTTTAGGAGAATTTTGAAGATACCATGGACCGATCACATTACGAACGAAATGGTGTGGCACAGAATGGAAAGAGACAGAGAACTTTTGAGCACCATTAAAAGAGCATATTTGGGGCACATACTTAAAATGATAAGTACGAGTTGTTGCAGCTGATTATGAAGGGAAGGAAAAAAGAAAAGAAAAGCAGAAGATAGAGACAAATTTGCAATGGTTATAGCCAACCTTCATTAGTGGAGACGGCCCTAGAAGAAGAAGAATAGGAGTATTGTATACAATATTTCTACTTTACCCTATTTTTTATTTAAACAATTTAATATTATACTATGTATATCTACTAACCAGGATTTTTATATGTTACTGTAAACTTGGCTTCACCCGTTGCCGAGTCTGGTACTCCCACTCCTTCGAGTATTGTCCATTCATTTGTTCTAAAAGATAATATATATTTTAACTATACTATATGTTGATAATAAAGATATCATATATATATATATATACAGGGTTGGGATAAAATATGAAATCAACTAAATATCTTTGAAACAAAAAACACATCTTTATATATTAAAAAAAATTGTACCAAACTTTTTGTGTATGAATTAGAAATATTAAGTTCTTTTAAAATACGCAAAAATATACAGAGTATCTCATTTAAAATAAATAATTTAGGGGTACTTCCGGTGAAACCAGAAAGTTTGACGAATGGCGTTTTTTTTTGTTTCAAAGATTTATCTTCTACAACTATTCCTGATGATATTCTAGGTTTCTTGGCATTAGGAAATAAATTTAGCATCGAACCAAAGTTAGGAAAAGATTTTCAAGTAAAAACACTTTTAGCAGACTTAGAATACATAATTTCATCATGTCCATCTGAATTAGAACAAAACTTAATCCGGTCTAGAACCACCAACATTCTCACTAATCACATTATGTGATTAAAAAATTAAAAAAAAAAGTATTATCAAAAATACTTTTTTTCATAACTTATATACCAAAACTAAAAAATTTCTTAAATATAATCCTGAGCTTTTAGTGACAAAAGCAGACAAAGGTAATGTTACAGTCATCTTAGAAAGAACTCACTACTTACAACTGTGTTCTTCTCTCATTGAGAATGATAAATCTTACATTTCACTTACATCCAATCCCACTTCTTCTCTACAAAGGAAATGCAATACATTAATCGCATCCTTAGCCTCTTCTAATGAGATTGACCGTAACACAAAGAAAAAACTAACAACATACAATGGGAATATTGCAAAGTTTTATGCTTTACCAAAAATCCATAAACCAACACTATCGGTTCGTCCCATAGTAGCTTCCATTGGAACTCCAACTGAAAATATCTCAGCTTTTCTTACAGACATACTTACTAATGCATATAATTATGAAATACAATATTACATCAAAGATTCTTTTGAGATGGTAAATAAATATAATGGTTACATATTACCATCTAATTATGTCCTCGTTAGCCTTGACGTTGTATCCTTATTCAGCAACGTTCATTTAGGAATATGTTTGACATCAATAGAGATTAACTGGGACCGTATTAGAGGTTGTTGTTCCATGTCTTATGACAGATTCATCAGTATCGTCGAATTTCTCTTTAATAACACTTACTTCTCTTTTAATGGTAAATTCTATCAACAAACTTTCGGTACCCCTATGGGAGCAAAGATTTCTCCTATTATTGCAACTTACGTTATGGATTATGTGTTAGACTCAGTCATTCCTTTACTATCCTTTCAAATTCCATTTATTAAAAAATATGTTGATGATATAATTTTGGCTATACCCAATGACAAGGTAGAGGGAAGATGGTAATTGTTCCATCCCCTTTCTCGACATAAGGATGATTAGGGAAATCAACAACATTAAAATAGATTGGTATCAAAAACCGACACATTCTGGTAGATACTTTAACTACCACTCTTAACATAATAACTCTACCAAAGTCAACTTAATCAAACAGATGAAAAATAGAGTAATTAAACTATCAGATCCATCATTTCATACAAAAAACCTACAAATCCTTCTGAAACTTTTTATTTCAAATTCTTATCCTACACCATTAGTAAATAAGATTTTGTTTAACACTATCCATAACGAAGATACTTCACCTTCCATCGTGACTAACAATGCTGATCCTGATGTCTTAAGTAGGAACCCAGTCTCGGATACTCCTATCAATAAATATTTTTCATTACCCTATTTCAGAGATATCACTCCGGGTTAACAAGGATTCTAAAAAGTTTTGAAAATAGCTTTTCTAATAATAATAATAACATTAAACTTAATGTGGCTTTTAGATCAGCCCTAACAATTAATAATCTTTATTCAAAGATAAAAGATAAGACTCCCATAGATAGGCTTCGTATTACACTACACAAAAGTGATTCTCGACTTCACCCTGACCGCTGTGCATTAGCCAAACATGTCCATTCCACTGGTCATCACATGGACTATACGAACACTACAATTCTCCACCGTGAGAGCAATAAATCTAAAAGAGAGTTCATTGAAATGTCTTATATTTTCCTTAACGATTTTTCCATCAATGTTAAGAGTGACATTAAGAATCTAAGCGATATATACTACTTCTTACTTAAATCAGATACCAAGAACAATACAACATCACAGATAACCAACTTGACTGATATATCTATTAACAACTAACCTACTTTAATAATAATTTTCATTAACAAAAAAAGATAACATTCCCTTGCTTTTCTTAGATACATCTCAATAAGATATTATTACAATAATACATGAACAATTTACTAATTAAAAATAAAAGAATTTCAATTAAAATTCTAAACTAATATCTCCCCAGACTGAGATCTAACTTCATCGGTTTTACCAATGAACCTTAACGACATTCATATCAAAAGAACTACTTGTAATTGTTTCGGCGCTTGCGTTCTATGAAAACAGAAGCTCACATTTAAACTTTACAACAATTAAAAATTTAGTTATTGCCGACAATTCAAAGAATTACTTCCTTTAAATGTAGTTACATTGGGTTTTTCGATTGTCCTTGGGTAAACTTTTGCGTTTTAAGTTCAAAGCTACCATACATTTCCAACGTTCACAAATAAACTTTTTTGCACATAGTAACAAAAAAACACCACTATGTTGTTACTAGCTAAAGTTTTTTAACATCATAACTAGACATTTCTAAAATTTCACGGTAAGGTAAATGTTTTTTATTAGATAATATATGGTAGCTAATTATAATTTATTCTCTTTCAGCCCTGAAGAAGCCAAATTCTCTTTGGCGAAAACGTTAGGTTAAATAATTGATACACATTAGAGTTTTTTTGCAGATTTCCCCAATATTTAAGAGTTTACTATTTAACTTATCTGCAAAGATTAAATTTCTTTTATATATATATATATATATATATATAATATATATATATATATATATATATATATATGTAGGAAATATCAGGTATAGTGGTCTCTAATTAAAATCTTTGTTTTTTCTAAAACTCAATATTTTGCCATTTATTTTATAACTTCATCAGGAGTAAACTGTAAAATAATTAGAATTAGATCTCATTAATCCACAAAAAAACATTAAATTTAGAAATAAGGATAACTTGCAATAATGTTTCAAATGTGAAGAATGATATTAATAAGATTAAGTGTGAGTTACAGCAGGTTGTTCCTACTATTATATTAACTGAATATAAACTAAGGTTAAAAAAGAGTTTTTCAAATGTGTTCAAAAAATTTGAACAGTAACTAATAACTAATTTTCCAACCATTTATTTTTAAACAATGACAAATTTTTCAAAAACTTGTCCAGCGTTCAGTTTCCAAAAGATGTGTCTGATTTTCCCTTTTTCTCTCCCTTGGTCCAAAATTTAGTATTGATTTTAAGTTAGACACCCACAAATTTTAAGTTAGATATTTTATAAGCTGATGTAAAAATATTATCGGTGAGGTGACAATTGATTCTAAGGATATTCTTAGGGCGCAAGTAACAAATGTAGTAACTAATTACTTTTATAATTCAACATCTAAACGCCCTACAACAATGAACACAATGTATAAGTATGTAAAACAATATTTAAAGTTACATTCAGACATACATTTTACAATCTGACAAAGATGGATGTACGGTAACTATGAAAAAACAGGAGTATATCGACAAAACCTTATCGTGATTACAAATCGACATATAAGGTTTTGGACAAAGATCCTACGTCAATGATACACAAAAACTATAATGACTTAATAAAAACCTTAAAAAACCAACATCAAATTACTGAACAAGTTGCAAAAAAGTTGATAATTTTTGACTCATGTTTCCCTAAATTTTATTGTTTGCTATTATCCTAATATTATCCATATATTGGACATGGACATTCCTCTCAGCCCTATTGTAAGTTATTTAAAATCCACTACTTACAACATTTCTAAATTTCTTGCTGATACATTAAATGATGCATTTGAATATCACAATAGTGATAATTCTAAGGACACATTTACATTTGTCAACGCTGTCAGGGGAATTCAGTTGTTACCAAATGATTGTGTTTTAATTTCTTTAGATGTGGTGTCGTTCTTTACAAACATTCCGCTAAATATGCTCGCGGACATCATTGAATCAAATTGGAACCTTATAAAAGACTACACGACATTATAAAAAGACAATTTTCTTCAAATCCTTAGGTTCATTTTTAACAACACTTACTTTAGTTTCAATGGTAAATTTTATTCTCAAATTTTTGGAACACCGATGAGTTCCCCGATTAGTTCAATCCCTGCAACTATTGTAACTGATCATCTCTTAGATAATGTGATTACACAATTACCTTTTTATTTACCATTTATATATAAATATGTCGATGACATCATATGTGCAGTTCCATCGTATCACATCAATACCACACTGAACATTTCTAATTCATTTAATAAACATCTTCAGTTTACAATTAAATATGAGACAAATTTTAGTATACAATTTTTAGACACAAGGGTAATAAGAAAAAATGATAATATTTTGACATTGGATTGGTACTAAAAGTCGACAGCATCAGGCAGGTATATAAATTACTATTCAAATCATACCACCCATCAAAAATATAATACCGTACTAGATATGAAGTAATTTCTATGATGGTCCCGTCCATGATTCTAACAACAAATCAATCAAATATAAAAAACTTCCATTTATTAATGGTCTAATTTATTTTGTCATATCCATATTCAAAAATGTTCCTAATACTAGTATATCTAAATATAATACCATAAACAGCAAACAACTATTTTCAAAAATCAAAGACCCAGTACCAACCTTATATAAAAGTAATGTTGTTTATGAAATACCGTGTCGAGGATGTCAAAATAGCTACATTGGACAAACATCACAATGGCTAAAACAACGTATCACAACATAAAAGTGATTGCCGCTTGGGAAAAAATACTTGTGCAGTATTTAAGCACTGTGAAAATACCGGTCATATGCTTGACTATACCAAAGCTCACATTTTGGCACAGACTGATAACTACAAAAGTAGATTATTTCTTGAGATGAGATCCAATATATATATATATATATATATATATATATATATATATATATATATATAATATATATATATATATATTGGATTTGAAATTTCCACGGGAGCTATGTGATTTTCAGTTGTTTTCCGGGTTTGACTCCGCGTTAAATAGTTTTGGTTTTTAGAAAAACCATTGTTTTGACGACGTTTCGGCAAGGTCACACTTGTCAAGTCAGATTAGTTCTGCTTCGTCTTGATGTTGATGAAGTTCTCCTGAAACCTGATATAGTATCGATCATATCGATATCGGTAATATTGATATTTATTTGAATGGAGTATTAAAAATTAAAATTCAATGTAAGTTTAACATTGTAACCTATTGGGTATTGGCTATTGATTAAGAAAACTGAACACCGGTTTTTTGACCGGCTATAACCGCCAGTTAAAGCCGGTCAAAAAACTAAGTAAAAAACCAGTATAACCGAAAACTGCTATTTCGTCAACAACCGCCATCCCTAAACTAAACAGACAGCATTAAATATAATTACTCTCAACTACTAAGATCTTGGTTTCATGATATCATCATTTTTCATGTCATCATATCTTTGTCTCCTTAGTAATTGTTCTCTAAATCTATTTCTTTATTTTCTGTATCTTTGTCCACATTTCCGGCTTTTTTCGGCCCCTTCCTTAGCTCTCACCTTTGATATGTCTGACGAAGAGTATTATTTTAATTTATACTGTATAATAATTAATCTGTTCTCAAGTATGCAAGAAATGTTTATGGCAACGGAATTGTTTTTATTTGGAAAATAGATTACTTACTCTGCATTAAGATATGTCGTGTTAATTCCAATTGATTGATCACTATTTAGTGAATACTTTGTAAAAGCACATTTACCGTAAACTTCTAGGATTGTTGGATATCTTTGTTGTTCATACCACAAACCTACAAACTAAAACAAAAAAAAAAAAAATAGATAAGAATTGACTAGGTAAAATACTGCTTAACTAGACAATTTTCTAAGCCTGCACCGATTTGCACCAAAATTTGGCTATAGCTTCTACTCACTCACTACTTCAAAGTTGACCTTTGTACTTGTACCGAAGGGAAAATATACCTTGGGGGGTAAATTTTTTTCTATTAACAGTAACACCGGGAATGAATATATTAACCAAATTTAAGCAACTTTTGTTATATATCGTAGAATGGGGTGACTTTGATTCTATGAGGTGACTTTGATAGACCATGAATATATATTGTTTCAATAGAGTATGCAACCCAAATGTTTCATCCGTTATGGTGGTTGTCTGAACTTAATTTCAGTGCACATGTTGATTAACTGTAGCGGAAGGCGTTTGTGGCGAATATCAAAAGTACACTTTTATAAATGCATTGTTGAAGTTTTTGTTTGAATTTGAAGATTTTAGATTGTGTAAATAAATTTAAACATACAGCTCTCATCATATAATTTCAGGTAATTTTGTGTATGTTGCCTTAATTTATGTTTAACTTTAATTTTAAAATATTTAACCCAAGTTATTTCCGTGATTACTTCATGAAATTACATGATTTCTTCTCCGAGGTCACTTTGATACATTTTTCGGGATGACTTTGATATTTTATTTCTTTTTAGTTTTCTTGATGAAACATCAAACCGTTAATTAATTTCAGGTTTTCATCATTATCTATATGAAAAGCCAAAAGTCGCGAGTTTATAAACGAAAGTTGGGATTAAGAAGCTACAAGAACTTCTCTGACGAAACTCTTAAACATGCTCTGCTTCAAATAGTAAACGGAAACTTGTCTGTTAAAGCCGCTTTAGAAAAATTTCAAAATTCCGTATGGTACTTTATATAATAAATACAAAGGGAAGCATGGGAAAAACCAGGGGTCTAAACTGCGTTGTCGGCGCTAGAGGAATAATCAATCGTGTCCTGCATTGTCAAATGTGCCGATTGGGGGTTTCCATTATAGACGTTAGATGTACAACTTTTTACTAAGAGTTATTTAAAAAGAACTGGAAGAATTATTTTTAAATTTAAAAACGGGGTAAGTCCTGGTAACGACTGGGTAACCCGTTTTTTAGAGAGGCATAGTCAGCAAATCTTTGAACGACTTGCGTCTAACATTACTAGAGCTCGGGCAGATGTCACAAAAGAAACGATAGAATCATATTTCAATAATTTAAGAACAATTCTCTCAAATTGCCCTCCATCACACATTTTTCATTACGATGAAACCAACGTTAGTGATGATCCAGGGAAAAGAAGATTGCTATATAGAAGAGGGACCAAATACCCAGAGCAAATCACTATTTATAGTAAAGTCGCCACATCAATAATGATGTGCGGTGCTGCTGATGGCACACTACTCCCTCCTTATATATCGCAGCGAACATATGTGGGATGCGTGAACATTAGGGGGTCCACAGGGCTCTCCTTGTTGTAAAACTGGGTGGATGGAGGTAACTTGTTTTACAGACTGGTTTGAGACCATATTATTACCACACGCAAGACGGCTGGAAGGTAAAAACGTTATGATCGGTGACAACTTGACGTCACACTTTTCAGATCACGTATTACAATTGCGCGAATTGCATAATATTGAATTTGCGTGCCTTCACGTGTTTGCAATATGCCGGTGGAAATTGTTTCAAGTTTTTGGGAATAGAAGGACAAACTGTCATAATATTTTCTAGTTTTGCCTTTCTTTCTAAAGAAACAAATTAATGGAAGCTGAAATTTTCTATGGAGACATTCGGTCAAGTCAACTAATCAAACTTGATTTAATTTGCATCCCAAAGACATGATACAACCTATAATACACAATATAACACACATTACAAACTCACAATAATTCTTTTATAATAATTCCAACAATAATAATAATTCCAACAATATGTTAGTCGGTTTCATATCACCAACCTTTTCAACTATGTGCCATTGGAGAAAACTTTAAAAATAATAAGAGTTAAATTAGAGAGAGACGATACATTGACAACAAAAACCAAACTGAATGTATTAGCTATCATGAAGCTACTTTGCACAAATAATACTTTTTTTCAACTTAATAATGATTTCTAAAACCAAACCGTTGGATTAGCCATGGGCTCACTATTATTCCATTATTAGCAGATAAACATGGAAGTATGAAGTACCATGGAGGATTTCGAATAAAACATGGTACACAAACAACACAAACAAGCCAGAGTATGGTGGACATATTTAGATGATGTGTTTTCCATTATTTAATCTTATGAACCAGAGCCATTGAATAAATTCCTGATAGACATCAACAATATAGAAGAATTAATCAAATTCACCCTTGAAAAGAAAACAATAATTCACATTCTTTTCTGCATGTGCTATTTACAAAAGAGGATACTTGTTATGCAACCAAATTTACAGAAAACCAACTCACAGCAAGAGATATTTAAATAATCACTTAAATCACAACGTAAACAAAAAAAAAATCATCAAATCATTATATGATAAAGTCAAAAACATCAACAAAACATCAAGTCAAACAAAAACATCAATTTATAAACAAGGAATTTCACAAGAAAGAAGAAAGACACGAGGTCGATGTTATAGCATTTTACCTAAAAGGAACATAGATTGTCCCTGCTCGAAAGGGGGAGTACTTTGTCTAACGATTACTGCCAGCGTGAATGTCAGCCAACTCCAACAATGCTCAGTTGGCTGGCATTAACCGGTGGACAAAGTAGTCCCCCTTTCGAACAGAGAAGATGTATATTTTCTTTAAGTAAAATCCTATAACATCAACCTCGTGTGATTCGTTTATCAAATTGTAGCATTTCAAATCACCTTGTATATATTAAAATACCAAAAAAGTATTTTCAATCCTTTTGCATCGCTGGAATTGATAATAAACACATTTCAAATTTTGTTTATATATCACAGATACGTATTTCTTCGGCATTGTTTTGATTGAGGAGGAGTGAAGATATTTTGCGCATCAAATAAACAGAATATGGTCGTTTAAGCTTTGTTTATACCGAGTTGGGCAAATGAATTTTAAAGATTATCATTCTCGGTAAGACCGGCCGTTGTTAAAGGCGTTTAGTTTTATCGGAGTCCGAATTTTTCTTCAAATTCGTAATGTTTTTTGTTTTTCGTCTTTTTTCGTGGAAAAATGTGTAGTATTGTGGCAGTTAATTATGCAGTTAAAGAAGTTGGGTTTGATATCTTGACAGGAAAAGAGGTTATATGTAATTTTCAAAAGCAACCGGCAATTTTGTTTGCTAAAAAAGTGAATTATACTCGAATGTAATATGTCGATTTAAATAAGAGTAATCACTGTTTTGTTTTGTGTCGTCTCTCACCTAAGGAATTTGAAGAACGACGTTTCAAACAACTTTAAAAGTTACCCACATGGTTTTAGGCAAAGGCTTGAGTGTTCCAAAAACCGAGTTTTGAAGATTGCTTCCCAGTGCCCAGTTTCCAACCTCATTTTGTTTGCCACAGGTCATTCCAGACTACCTATTTACGCATTTGTGTGTGTTGCGTTAAATCTGAGTCCAGCAACCCCAGAAATTTTAAAGGAGAAAAAAATAATATTTAGTGAAATGCAGGTAACTTTTTTGTTGAATTTTTAAAGTAAAAATATACATTTTCCATTAATAATTGCTTTTATGACAAGTTAGGAAATTTTAATAAGTAAAATTATAAATGTTAAGGAGTGGCTAAGCTGTCATATTAATTACTCTTAAAGTTTTAAGATTTAGTATTGACATATGACAGTTAGCACTATTTTTTTGACGATTGATACATACCTAACCATAAATTGAGATCTTGTTTTGTTTTGTTTTTTAAAAAAACGTTAACCTTTATGCATAGTTCCATTTAAAAAGATATTTTTCATTTGTAATAATTTATTTCTTCTACAAAATATCGCCCATTAACAATTATAAGTTCTTATAGTATGTCCAACTTCTAGAGTTTGTAAACCGATAGTAACATATAATCCGTTCACAAATTGTTGAGAGCACGAAATGTGCCTCAAAATCATAAAAAGGTCGTAAAATTTGTATCATCATAGGCGTTCCTGAGGTGTTTATTCATTAAAATTAATGCGTTTTATATTTATTTTCCTTTCCAAAATGTTTATCAATATTTAGCAAAAAACAATTAAAACTTTCACGGCTAATGTTGGTTATTATATTATATTATTAAAAATAAGAATTTAACCATTAAACATTTTGTAAATAAGAGTACCTTATCTCTTTGGATATTTCAATACTAATCTTCGCGTTTAATCATTTTACTAGAAAACCTGAAATTCATATCCGAAGGTACTATTCGTTGCAAGATAATTAGGATGGAATTCCCCAGATTTTTAATAATATAATGGGTATAAAGATGCCGGCTTTGGCCTTGTGCCTCGTCTGTTCATTTTATATTCGAAACCTAACTTGAAATGGTGAAATTATTACGAACGAAAACAATTTTTTGTTTAGTACGTTTTTGATCGCATGTAATTTACGGCTCGTCGGTGTTTCCGAGTCTACGGCAGTAATTAGCATTTCGAATATTTCTTTTGCGAAATATATGCAGTGCGTGAGTGATTTTTTATTCCATATACCTAGGAACATATACGTTTGTGATGGCTTCGTCATCAACATCTTCAAGTTTTACACCGGCACTGTTGCGTACAGTCAGTAAGTCTGTCTATTCACCAAGAGAGAAGACTATTCCCACAAACACTGTCCGCAACATAGTCGAAAGTTGTGCCAACATGACTGGAGTAGGGGAGTCTATATATAGGTTCGTATCAGAAAGAAAAAACACGGTATAGCTAAATAGCTAACCCAAACACAAACGAACACTTAAAGAGAGGGAAAAAGCCTATTGAAATTAATGAATTTGTCAAAAATGGTATTCAAAGGAAAATTCATGGATTTTTTTTCAAAAAAGAAATACCAAACCTAAAAAAAATTTTACAACAAGTTAGAGACGACCCGGATTTGCCTCATATCGGACGAACTAAATTCTGGCAAATTTTAAAAGAATTAAATTTCCGGTGGGAGAAATCAGACCAAAAATCACTTTTGATTGACCGGGAGGAGATAACATGTTGGAGAAGAAATTATCTAAGATCCATACGATAATTTCGGGCTGAAGGAAGGCCAATCTTCTACCAGGATGTAACTTGGGTAAACTTAGGTGATACTTTATACCCACCTTCTGGTAAAGGCAGTACATGAATAATTTCTCACATTGGCGGTGAAAAAGGATTTGTTAAGCATGGTTTTCCCGGCAATACAAATCTAAGTTCAAGAAATACGTAGTTGACAAAATGGCGGAAAGGCGAAACATCACAGTCCTTAGACTTCGATCCTACCACTGCGATATAAATCCAATTGAACTCATTTAGGCATAAATGAAAAGTTATGTGGCTAGAAAAAATACGTCATATAAAATACAAGCTGTACGTGAACATATTACAGAACAAAAGTGGAAAGATGCAGAAAGACATCTAATGGGAGAACAAAAAATGTGGGATCTTGATAACATAATTGACGCGACCGTAGAGACACAACCGCTAATTATTAACCCTCAAGACGACTCGGATTCCGAAGTTGATCCTGTTTATTTCGAATTTGAATAGTTTTCTAAAAGTAATTATATAAGGTAAGTAATAGTAGTTGTAACCGTATGGTATTAAAGGGAAAAGGCGCAAAATGTCGCCTGTCAAAATGATCAATGTGTTTTAAATGTATCCATTTTTTTTTTCAAATTCTGAGAAACCTAAAAAGCATTTTTGAAAAATTTAAAAGGAAGAATGAAATATTTATTAAAATAAATAAAAAGTTTCTTTTGCATGCAATATTTTCAATTAAAAATTATACTATATTTTCTCTTTTATTTTCACCCCTCTTACATAAAATATTAAAATAAACATTGTAGAAGTTTTCAGGGACTTTCTGCCCCAGTAATAATGTAATCTTTCATTCTGCGTTTAAATTTTTTAAAAATTTTTTATTAGTTTTCTCCGGATTCGAAAATAATGGATACATTTAAAACACATTGAAAATTTTGCCAGGCGACATTTGGCGCCTTTCCTCTTAATTAAATAAATGTATCTTTTACAAATGGCAAGAAATTTTTAATTTTTGAATAAAATAAAGAAGTTTTATTAAACAAAAATACAATTTACATAAGTACAATTTAAAAAATATATTTATTTGGTTAAAATAAATGTTTCAATCGTATACTCTACGATACTGGTGGGTCATCTGTAACCAAAATACCTTCGTAATCGGATTATAAGGTTGAGTGCTGTATTGTATTCCTTCAGATATAAGGAGGGTTAATCAAAAACACCTTGGTTTTTACTAATATATTGTATTACCTATCCTCTCTGTATTTCATTTTTATTTCAGGTTAAACTTGTAGTGAGCTATCGACAAATTGTGAACCGATTATAGTAAGTTTTTTTTTGTTATTTTGTATTACTATTTATATTTGTAACTGTTTGTGGTGAGACAAAAACAAATAATAAATTTTTTCCCTAAAAAAGAGTATTATGTAATTTCTTTTTAAAAGTTTCTAGATTTACAAGATTCTTGTAAGCGGCGTCTGATTCAAATAGCTTAAGAACTTTCTTGTGTTGGGTTTGTCCAGGAGATTCATGTAAGTACCACTTTTGTTTCAATTTTATAGTACCCCAGTCCAGTCCCGTTGTTTCATTCACTTATCTACGACTCAGTTCTCAAAAAAACCCTAAGTAGTAACCGTTCGCAAACGTTTCGGATTGTTTTGCTTACCCTATTTGTAGCCTCGTAATTTCTGTACCCAATTTTTAACCTCCTATAATGATCCCAATGTGGTAGGCAAAAATAATCGTTACAAAATATAACCATGATTGTCATTTAATTTAAAGGTTTTTACACCTACTTCTGTAGCTAGTTTCAACTAGTCTTAAAATTGTTCTGAAGCTATTTTCTTGTGGCATTTTAAATTAATTGCTATTAAACTGGGAATAAGCCACAATTAAAGATGAAAATACGTTTATTGACGTTTCAATTTCCACTTCGGAAATCGTTCTCAAAATACAAACGTCAATTTGAAATTGAAACGTCAATAAACGTATTTTTATCTTTAATTGTGGCTTATTCCTAGTTTAATAGCAATTAGTCTTAAAATGTTTCACTGATGAAGTTCCGACTAGACCGAAAACATTTTGAAGATTTGTAATCCGTTTAGATAAATATTAAATTATTTTTTAATAAAATATACTATTATACATAAGATACACGTTCATTAAAACACAGCGACTTAGATGGGCTGGACACATAATACGAATGCCAGAAAATACCATTGCTAAAAAGCTAACCACAGGAACACCTGTAGGAAAAAGAAGCAAAGGCCGACAGCGAATTAGATGGTTAGATGGAGTAGAAACCGACTTACGAATATTAAAAATCAGAAGATGTTGCCAAAAACCGAACAGAATGAACCGAACACAAGAAGTCTTTAATTCTGTGTAAGTTTTTTTAAACTATGCTATACAGCCAACCATTGGGATTTTCACCTTATATTTTATTATTAGGTTAAATTGTATAGTCTCTTTTGCCAATAAAATTGAGACAACAAATGATCATTAACTTATAAAGCAATCAATAAATAACAACAGCGTTGCATTTAATATAAAATATATATCTAAGGTCTCTACTTACTTTTGTAGGATCAAAATTTGGCACTCCCTTTACATCTGGACAAGAAGCACGAGGGATATGACCGTGTGCAGCTACTATAAGCACACACAAAATTGCTGCCAAAATCCTCATTTTCCTAATTTTGAAATTAAAACTTTGAGTCTGTTTTCTATGATTACTAATATAACTTTTTAGTAAGATGTGGGTTTTATAGGCTTTATAATCTTGATTTATCGGTACGTTACAGTTGACAAACTTTTTAATCACATTAACATAATCAATAATTAAAAACTGCTTAATCATATGAACTAAATTAATTTATTTTAAAAACAAGTACCTGACTATTTTTTTTCTGCAGTTGGCAACCAGATAACAAATAAATTAAGATTAACATTGGATTAAGGTAAGATTAAAATCGTAATGGAAATGTAGGTCAAACTTATCGATAATGGTGTTGATTCTGTATACATTGCTGTTAAGATTTTAAAATTTGCTAGCAAAAAAAAGGGTAAAGTTGGGATAGATGGCTACGAAGAAACATTTGTGACAGTAGTTTGGATTAAGGTAAGAATAAAATCGTAATGGAAATGTAGATCAAACTTATCGACTAAGCTAAGCTCGAAATAGAAGGCCACGAAGAAACATTTGTGACAGTAGTTTGGGTTTAAAGGACACAATGAAAAAAATGTTCAGGTATATTGTTAGATTATATTTTGTTCACAAAATAAACAAAACATAATAAGTTTACAAGTAACGTGTACACGAAAATTTTACATGATCTAGAAAAATAATGAAATCCCAATACTCTGGGTTATTGTAATTTAGGAATTAGAATTTATAAGAAGGAGAATTTGGAGTGAAGTTATTGAATGCACTAATAAAGAATAGCTTAGCTCAGAGCAATCAATTTGAAGGGCCAGAGAGGCACCAATTCTCAAGGGAGAATTCGGGCTAGCTTTTCTACACTTAGGATTCGCTTTGGTATAAAAGATAATAATGGTATAAAGGATAATAAAATTATATAAACAAGGAAGAAAATGAGACCTTGTAACACAAACAATCTTTAGTAGTATAGGTACTAGATACTAGTACAAGGTACTATAAGTAAATATACGAAATTGCCTACGGTACTGAAGAAACAGGAAACCTAATACAATAAACTGGAATTACTTTAAAAAACCACCAAATCGAAAATAAAAGTTTTAATTCTGAGTTCAGTTTTCCAAGAACATTCATAATTGGCGCAAAGTCAGTACGGAAGTGGAAGAGTCTTTATAGATCCTCGTCACTTTTAAGATTAAATTTTAAAAGCAATTTTTATTAAATCAGACTCCTTTGAGTCCTTACATTGAATAAAAGCTAGATTAGAAGATAAATTAAATAAAGATTTGAATAGATTAACAGAAAGATTAAAATAATTTAAAAATATCTCCTCTAAGTCCTTCCTTTAGATTACTAATAAAACCACACATAGTTATAATACCCAATTATACAGAATATAATCATACAAACGATACCCTATTAAAATCTATATTGGATAAATTAATCAATAACATATTTGTATATAGAGATGGATCCAAAACAAAACACGGAGTTGGTTGTGGAGTTTTTATTCAAAATACAAAACAATCATTTATGTATAAATTACCATCAATATGTAGCATATATACTGCTGAACTTAGAGCAATTTTGAAGAGCATTACTTGGTTAATATCAAATAATTTACGAGACTGATTCTGAGTCAGCCTTGGAGTCAATAAAAAGTATAAAATTTGAAAGAACGAAATGTCCTATATTATGCAATTTAAAAAAATTTATAGCAGATTTAAATATAACATTTGTATGGGTCAAAGGTCATATAGGTATACTAGGTAATGAAAAAGCTGATAGTTTGGCCAAGGAGGCAGTACAAAACGGAGTTCATTGTAATATTTGTACAATACCATACGTCTCTAATTTGAGAAAAAAAAATAATGGTAAAATGGGCAAGACAGTGGAAAAACTTGTAGAAAACTCACAAAATACGTATTTTAAAATATATCCAACTTTTTCGACTTAAAACAAATCATGGGCGATTTCCATCGCACCTTGCTAAGCTAGGCATTATACAGTCATCGGCCTGTAGTTGTGATCAGAACTCTTACAGAGATCTAAACCATATATTCTTCTTCGGTTGCAAAAAACATTTAAAAAATCCGATGATATAATTCGTATACTCATTAAAATGAAACATTTTCTTCCATTAAATCTATCACACATTTTGTTAACTGCCAATAGAAACACCTTAGAACTTCTAGTAAATTTTATTAAAGAAGTAAAAATAGAAATTTAGAACAGCATAACCCACAACTCTGTATTTATATTATAAGGAAAGTTATACATACAACATTTTGTGGCAAATGGACTTGATCCCGTGCCAATATCTTTCCACACACACACTCCTCTAAGTCCTTAGATTAACTATAAATTCAGATTCAGAAACTTATTTAAAGACACATTTTAATAGCTTAATAAATACTATATATTAATAAACATAGAGATTAATAGATAGAAAATAAGTAGATTAAGATTGATATATTTATATATTGACTATTGAAAATTGACTATACTGATTTGACTATTGATTATATATATATATTATATATATATATATTGATTTTTTTTTAAATATGGCAGTTCCACAATTTGAAGTTAAAAATTTATGCATTCTTCCAAATTTTGATGAAAATCCAAATGTATTACATGAATTTATTAAAGTTTCTACAATACTTCTAAACCATTATTATGACAGACTTAATGCAGCTAATATACAAAACAAATTTTTGATTCATGGTATTATCAGTAAATTAACAGGTAGAGCCAAAGATGTTATATTTACATATGAATGCGAAAGTTGGGATGAAATAAAAAACGCAATAATTCAAAATTCTGGAGATCAGAGAGACGAAAATTTGCTTACAAGGGATCTAGTAAATTTAAGGCAATGCTTAACAGAATCTATTATGTGTTTTTATTAAAATATCATGGGACTTTTAAGATGTATTTATAATTACCTAGAATTACATATTGTAAATGCCGATATTAAAAGAAGCAAACAAAAATGTTTCCGTCAACAAGCTCTTACAACATTCTTAGCAGGCTTATGAGAACCAATGGGTTTTGTTATCAGAGCAATGAGACCAGGAAGTTTAGCCACGGCAATACAATACGTACAGGAAGAAAATAATGTTCGATACCTTAAAAAAATCAAATAAGTCAACCTTCATCATCAGAAAGAAACGAAAATTACCAAAAACGCCGACGTCAGACACAGCAGATGCCTGTACCTATCCAGAAACCATTATATCAACAGCCAAATTTTGCACCTCCGCAATGGCAGCAACCAATGAGACAATTATTCGCAGAATCAGTTTCAACAACCACATCGGCAACAAAACTTCAACCGAATTAGACAAAACTCAAAACCCCAATCCAGAGTTACATAAATTCAAGGACAACCATCTTAGAGGAACCGCTAATGCTTCCCAAAATTAGGACCATAGATATTTAAACAGCGATTAAGTTTAAACCATTAAGGATAGACCACATCCTCTTAGACAAAATGCATGAAATCTCCAAGGAAGAGGAACATCTAGATACAATTAACCCGAAATTATGGAACCATAGCCATAACCATTTTTTGATGACTTCTTTATATATCTTTATTACAATAATCTGACTCTATATATATTATAGGTATAAAACAAACAACAAAAACCCAATTCTAGCAACGAAACTCCGGGAGAGGCCAACTCAACAGTTCTGTTCATCCCTCACAAAACTTCTTCAGGGGATGGAGTAGTTACAGTACAATGATCACTACCGTCCAGTGAACTCTACCACGTGGATTCAATACGATGCTACCGCTTGAACATTCTGCACTGAATTGCGACGTATTGGACAGCAAGATCAGCAATTATAAAATTATAAAACACAATGTAAAAAATCAATATTTTTCAGTCTGATTTTAATTTATTGTTTTGTTACTAAAATCTTTGTAAGTCGAAAATAAAAGTTTTAATTGTGAGTTCAGTTTTTAAAAAGTGTTTTCCCAAGAACATTCATAATTCGCACTACGTCCATTTTATGGTCAACATAATAGTTCATCAGAGCAAGTAATTCAAACCATGAAACGTTTTTGCACCACGTTTACTCTAAATGATAATGTGCATCCACAGATACGTCGTACAGTATGTACAGAAGAAGTTGTTGGTGCTATAGAGCGTGGCATACAGGAAGACCCAAATCAGTTTATCTTCCATCGTGCACAGCGGTTGGATTTTATGGTAGATCTTGCGGAAAGATCTTGCTTTGCGTGCATACAAGAGGTACATCATCACCTAGCAAGGTGTAGATTCGTTAAGTGGATCTAAATGCTCCAAAAAGCTCACTCGTGAGAAAGTATCTGGCACTACATTCTCAACTCCTGGTCGATACTGAATATCGAAACTGAAGCATTATAATTCAAGGTGCCATCTGATAATGTTCTCATTTTTTTATCTTACTAGTGTGGCGCATATTGAACATAAAAGAGACAGACTTTTGATCAGTTATAAGTCGAAAATGTTTACCTATCAAGATATGTCTTGATATATGTCTATTGAATGATTTCTTTCACTTTTTGATAAGGTTCTTGAAAAGAAAGCAACAGGTCTTCCTCCTTGGCTAAGAGAAGCAGCAATACAAAAATCTGAATCATCAGATTCAACGATAAAAGGAATCTTGTCATCAATCGTAGTAACAGCTGAAGAAATCATTTCAGATTTAAGAATTTGGAAAGCTTCAGCTGCTTGATCTGTTAAAGGAAAAGTATTGCATGTGACTAGTTTTTGTATCTTTTCTCAAAATTGTTGGAAACATTTGGAATAATGTGCAAACATTCCGACAGCTATCTTTAGTGATTGTGAATCGTTTGGTAAGGGTAACTTCTTTAATGGTTCAAGTCTTTCAGGATCAGGTTTTAAGGTCTGATTTTCTATTTGATAACCCAAAGTTTGATTAAATTTAGTGTATAAGAACTTTTATCTTGATTTATTGTTAAATTGTATTTCTTCGCTACTTCCATAAATTTATTAAGATTTTCATTATGTTGTTGTTGATTTAATCCACAAGCCGTAATGTCATCAAGATATGCATATACATCTTTTAAATGTTCCGATTTAATAATACCATCGATAACCCTTTGAAAACAAGCCACTCCGTTGGTTACCCCAAAAGGAATCCGGCAAAATTGGTATAGTTGGCCGTTGGCTTCAAAATCAGTA